AGAGAATGGTTTAACACCCACGACCTGAAGGTGCCCCCCTCCAAATCAGCCCTCGTAAACTCTTTTTAGGAAGTTAGAGACCTACATTTCTGTGTTTTGCATTTGCTTGAAAGTTGCAGTGACTGATGCAATACTTTCACTATGTCTTTCTTTTCCTTTGCTGGCGTAGCTCAAAATTCTTGCAGTTGTTTGGTTGTAGGACTCCTTGCACCAGCATTTTAACTGTTGCAACATGCAAGTATTACTCTACACATTTTAAAAGATCAATGTTGTGCCTTGGCATTGAACCCTGTCATCTGCGTGCTATGCTTGTGTAATCACACAGATTAAAATGCAGTATGCAGTTCCTGGACTGCTAAGAACTTTTTAACTAAGTAATTGTGAAGCCTTGCAGGAGATGGTCTAATGAAAATTTTTGTTAGGTTATTTCCATATAATCTTTTCACCATCTAAACTGTAAGCCCCTTCTCTACCCTCCAGTTCTTAGAGGACTTCATCTCTAACCCCCTAGGCACAATTTTCTTACAGTGTCATATGTATTTGATGCATTTTTTCCTTGTCTGTGGACACTTGTGCAGTGTGTATATATAGCACCTAGAAGGCCTGAACTTGGGAAACATAGGATAGGAAGGGGTTTTCTCTGCCCTTTGGCGAGTTTATTACCATCTCAGGTGTCAGTTGTATTGTTCTCTCTGTGATTTATCATGCTTAATCCTAACAAAGTAGTTCATTGGTATCTACCGGATGTATTGTTTATAGGCAGCAGTTGTAGTCTGTCTTCAATTTAACCTAGACAAGACAAATTAACTTAAACCTTTTCCTGAAAAGTAAGCTTCTCATTTTCCCTAGTATATCAGTAGTTATTTGAAATTTTTGATTTTTAATATACAGTACACAACATTCAGCTGAAGGTTGGCCAGCACCCTGATCAGTGTTGTCAGAGTCCTAAACAGATGTGAGTCCTAAACCCACGTGAGAGCTGATGCAGTTAGGTGCAGGCCTGAGCTGTGCTGCCTGTACCAGGTACACCTGGAGCCAGCTCACCTGAATGGAAAAGCCTGTAGGCAGCTCCCACTTGGCACCTGGTGGTGACTCCACCCGCATGTCTCAGTTTAACTTGAAGCGAAACAGCCTGTTTTCATAGAACATCATTTGCGTGACAGTAAAGATGATGAGCAGATTTGTCTGCTTCTAGGGACACTGTAAAAACTCTCAACTCTTCAGTGCTTGCAAATCTTGCCACAGATGGAATTTGCATGGTGTGGCATGCCCTGACTAGAGATCTGGCCAATGCAGGTCTGTGTTCCCAGCATCTGAAGACAGACAAGATTATCTGTGCTATTTCTTTTTACTTTCTCAGGTTATCTCCAACAACCCAAATTTTAATCAATATCCCATGGAGTCTGAGTGCCTTTCTCACTATATATATATAATGAACACTTGAGTCAGTGCACTACAGGTGCCTTTGGCACTTCTCTAACTCTACTGAAAACAGTTAACCTGATTTAAGGCAGCATTTGCTATTTATTTTTTTTTATTTAAAAGATATATACTGGTGAGTCATAGAAATCTTGACTCACAACTCTTTTCCTTACTCTGTGACTATGGATGACAAGTGGTTATTTTTGTTTTTAAAATTAAAAACAATAACACAGTGGTGTAAATTCTTTGTGCAGGAGGAGGTCATGGGTAAACATCATTATGAGCCACGCTGCAGGGTCATATACTTCTCTTCCGTCTGTTGTGCCATTGGTAAATTATATAGGAAAACTCCCATTTTTTTGGGCTGACAGGACTAATGAAAATATCAATATGAAGGCAGTGGCTAATCCCCAAAGCAAGTTCCCTCCATGACAGTAACTACTGCCTCATCTTGGTTTTTCCCTTTTCAAGCATGTGCTGTCCTCATTTGTTAGCTGGCTTCCCAGTCAGCCTTTCACTTCTGGCTTTGCCATGATAATTGGTTACCATGCTGAAGGCAATAAGGATATTGAAATAAAATAACAGACTAATGTGATGCAATCAAACACTGCAACATTACTTTTGTATTTTCACTTTCCAATTTTCCACTCCTATTTTAATCTTTCTTAATCAAAAGGTTTTGCATACCCTGCAGATGACAGTGGTTTTGAATATTTCTTCCTTAATAGATCTTCTGTTTTCAAATTGTGTAATACGTAATTTTTATGCAGTTTTAACTGCACTTAAGCAATTACCTGCAATTATATTTCTTGATATTTTTTTCTTGTACCTTTAAAAATGTGTACATACAATGATAATGATTTAATCAAAATTATCTTGTGCAACAAGCTTACGGTAGAACTGTTAAAAAAATATACATAAAGGCCTTGAAAACTCTGTTAGGTTTTTATTTGCCCTGTTCAGTTTCAGATGAGAAAGATAAGTGATGAAATATACCACGGTCATAATCAAATAATAAGATTACGGCTTATTTCTGTTTGCCCCAAATATACTTCCACATGTCTTAGAGACGTGGTTTCTTAGTCTCTTTTCACATAGGAGGGATGCTTTACCAGGAGAAGGCAAAACCTAAGAGTGCTGAATTTTACAATTTCCTTAAAATAACTAGCAATTACATTTGCTACTCATTGTCACTTGTCTTAAAAAAAATCAGGGCAAGCACTGTCCTGAGTTTTGCAGGTTATGTCAGTTGGTGTGGAGAACTTGGTGTCCACACAAGACATGTTTGGGTTTTTTTCAAGAGACTTTATTTCAAACTAACTGCTGTCAGGCACTGTTGATAGATTGCCCAAGTAGCTGGAGCTCATCTTCAAGTTTTGCCTCATCTGAAAGGAATCTGTTTCATAGGTTCCAGGATTGTTTTGCGAACAAGTGCTCTCTCGATCCAAACAAAAAAGTTAATGCAGCTACATGCCCAAAGGACATGAATATATGTGAAAAGAAAAAGTTGTCAATATTTTAAATTGGTGAAGTGATCTTGAATGCTGGAACAAAACAACTGGATGTGTTAAAAAAAGAGGTTTGTGGTAATGGAAGGCAATGGTCTGAATTCATTCCAGGCAACTTCCATCCTATCCATACATAAGAGAATGCTTTCACACTGATTTTTTTCTAAGCATAATTCAAAAGGATTGAATTATTTTTTGCAGGTAATGTGCTCTCTTCATTGGCTGTATAACATTTATCAAATAAATAAAGCAGATGCATGCCACAGTCCGATGGCAAAAGGATTTCACAGTGATACCCTATTTAACAAATACATTTTGGAAAAATGTCATATACCAAATGCTACTCCCAAATTCAGTCTCTTAATTTGCACAGAAGCAGTCTTCTTTGAACAACTCCTCAGCTGCAGAAAGATAAAGCACATCATGATCATTGCTCTGCTGCAAGTTGTGTTCAAAGATGGCACTGATGAACCATAGAGAACCTCCCTGTGCTAACTGTAACAGCTCATTCTATCTTAGAGCTTTATGAGACAAAATACTTCTGTTGGTTTAGATGAAAAGTTGCTTGGTTTACTTTGAGATCTCCTTGGTGACTACACTGAATATTCATGTAGACTAGTGTCAATGTCCACTTTCCTTGGATAACCCACTTCTCTGCTCTTCCCTGCAATTTTTGTCTTATAACTGCCATGTACTGTGTATTTTTGCTGTCCTGCGAAATCCAGCCATTTCAGCTGATATTCCTTCAGCTTTACTATATGTGTTTTTTTCTGAATAGCTAAATGATTGAATAGTTCTCACTTTATCTATTCATTTTGATAATGTTTTAACAAAGTCTTTCATACCAGAAACAATTTTACTGGAAACATTTTTTCACTATTAATAGTATTATAATGAAAATTTGAGAAAAACAAACAAACAAACAAAACCCCAAATGACCACAACTGCATACAGCAGAACCTTTAGTGTATATGTCTCAGAAAGAAGTCTTCAAAAGTTGGGGGTTTTTTGTTTGTTTGTTTGTTTGTTTTTAAATCAGTGCTTCTAGAACAATGTAGAACAGATTAGGGAATATCTCACTTGTCTTTGTGATAATAAGATTTAACTCACAGGTGTTTGTTGGTGGTGCAAAATAATACAGACACTAAAAATCTTGCATAAAATTGTTTGCCCTAATGCAACATAAGAGGAGCATACGAAAGAGCTTTCCTCTATCTTGCTATCTGTTTCAGTAGTTAGTAAACAACTAAGTGTCAGTGCAGCCTTAGAAATGCCCATATCCTATTGCATTTAACAAACTACATTTGAGGAACTTCTGCACTGAAAAGCTCTGGGTCTAGCTGTGGTGTGCAAGTGAAACAAGAGGAATAAGAAACACCAGAACCTGGCCAAAATACCGTTTCCAGAACAGCCACAAGTTAAGTAACCTCTATAAAATGTCAGGACTGCTTACGAGCTCTCAAGTTCGTAGATAATAACTCGGGCTAAATGAGACTGAACCTGTAAGTTTAAGCTTCAGAACCAAATATCTCAGTGACAGGTGGCAGTCTGGGTAACTCAGACCAAGCTGCCAAAGCAGACTATTGAATAAGCAAATAAATCAGCTGATATCCTTGAGATGCTCCCGCCAACAGCCCCCATAGTCTCGAGGGGCTCTTTCTCTTCCAGGACCACGGTATCTTCAGCTAGGGAGGTTTGCAGCTGTCCGTCCTACCCCAAAAAACCCAAACCCAAACAAACCAATCAACCAAACCAACCAACAAACAAAGGCCAGCCACCTCAAGTCTCGCAATCTTTACTTGGAGGATTTCCTGGGGCGGAGGCTGAGCCCAGCCCTCGACAGCGAAGGGCTGGGGAGGATGGCTGAGGCTTGTCTCTGTCAGCCGCGTAACAGGGCGGACCGCGTCAGCCAGCCTGGGATAATCCGAGGAGGAGATTCGTAGAGCTGAGCCGGTGGTCCTTCTTTGCTCTGACGACCCGCTTTTGGGGCTGGGAGGTGGCTCAGGCCGAGGTGGTGCCGCGTGGGGGAACAGGGCTGGGGACAGTTCAGGAGTGGGAGTGAAACCTGTTGTAAAAGGTCAGCGCTTTCCGTGGCTCGCTTCCTGACAGAGAGCTTGAGAGAGCCTGTTCTCTGCGTCTGGATCTCGTTCCCTGAGTGTGGAGGGCGTCCTGAGAGCCCACTGGCGTCCCGCACCTCCCAGGAGCTACAGCCCCTTCCATCGTGTCCAGGAGTACGTCAGAATTTAAAAGAAGGATATTGAAGAAATATTTCCTGCCGTACCTGCTGAGGGATGCCAGCGTTTCACAGAAAACCAGCTACAGTCGCAGTGCTGTAACTACATTCCGGAGTTGGGGGGTGCGGCTAACCCAGCTCTTCTGCATCGCCTAGGTATGTCCAACAAAGTATTTGTAATCGTTTTCTCTAGATCAAAAGTGAGACATTTGATTAATCTCTCCTGAAGAGGCATGGCATGCCTTGCAGATAATAGAAGCATTTAAGGTAATATGAAAACATAGTGGGGGTTTTTTTATAATTTAAAATGTTCATGGACTTATGTAGCAGAAATAGTGTGATACTCTGACTTGCTGTTAGTTCCCTCAATTCTGAGGACAGGACTGTTGTATGTTTTAATATGTCTGTGTTTTTGAATGAGATATTCAAAGAAAAACTGCCACAAGTTTGCCAAAAACAGTGAAATCCATGGTACTTTGAAGTTCTGAGCAGACTCTTTTTTTTTTTTTTTTTTTTTTTTTTAGCAGATCAACTTTGAAAGGACTAGAGAGCAGAGGAAAAGATGGCTAAATCAATTTAATGACAGATTTTAATGAGAATTATACCTTACTATGTGCTCTCGTGGATGTTGTAATTATAATTCAGGTGCATGTATCATTAAAAACCTCTTTCAGACTTTTCTTTTGGTGGGTTGGTTATGGTATGCTTTGCATTTTTTTAACTCAAATTGATAAAAATATTTCCTTTCAGGGTGAAACTTTATGGACATGGCCCCAGATGCCTGGAATTTTTTCTCCCCTCCAGAAAATTTGGGCAAAGATAACTCTAGCTGAATTCTGTTGTGAGTGGTCAAGCTCCACAGGCTGGTTGTAAGCTCAAGATGTGCACAAAATGACTGGGAAAAGGGAGAAATTTACCTGTTTAACATGGCAGAATGTGGTAGGAAAAACATTTACACTTGCTTCTGCAGTCATATGTTTGTTATTTTCACCATTAATTATGTGAATGCATGGACAAAGCAGGTCCTAATTTTTCTGTTGTGTCTACCTTCCACAGAAAGGGAAGTTTTTCACTGTGAAAAGTAGGAAACAAGAAGGAGTCTCCTCAAAGCAGTTTGTGTATATGGTTTTAAACAAGGCTATATATATTTGCAAGTCTTCCATGTTGACAAAAGGGCAAGTTATAAATTTAAACAGATAGAAAGAACATTGAAATTATAGAGAAGAAGGATGCTGGAACTTTCTTTCCAGAGGTGGCAAAATAATACTGCTGCATGTGCTGAATCTACTGCTAGGGCAAAAGGCTGCTTCAGAGAGCTCACATGAGACAGAACACTAGAGTGAGGTAATGTTGTAATAGAAAAGAGTTTATGAAAAAACAGTGTTTCAGAGAAGTCATACAGTAAATACCTGGTCATAAGTGGAATCTATTCAGTCTTGATTTATCTTGAAAGTATTATAATGGAAATAATTTAATCTTTTTTAAAATAAAAACTATAGATTTTTCAGAGCTACTGTCCCTCACAATCAGTGAAGAAAGTTGTAGGTTTTGTACAAACACACATAACGCGCCTTCAGTGCTTTTAATGGTTTGTGTATTTCTATGCTCAGCATTCTTGTGGGACTCATTCCTTTTTACAGCTAGGCAAGAAAAAACCTGCCTTGTAATCTGAATGAAAATTTGCAATGAGGGAGGAGGAAAGAGAAAGGGAAGACAGAAGAAAGCAAGCAGGCACTGCAAGAAGCAGTGTGGATGACTCAGTGTATGGCACACCTCTGAGTCAGTTTGGTGAAGTAAGACACAACAGCTAGAAGTGTCATCTTTTACTATTGTAGAAAATGCTGATCAGCTAAGAATTCTTCACAACAGGATGGGGTTCTCCTGCTCATCCTTTAGTTTGAACAGTTGCATTTGTCCTCTCACAGTGCTGCAAAAGACTGTGGCAGATAGAATAGGAAAAAAGCAGTAAGGCAGGTCAAGTTAAGGAACAGCTTGTCAGAGGCTTGCAACTAATAGATTCTTCTCCAAGCACATTAGGGATCAGAAGACTACTAAAGAGTCCTGATAATCATTCTCAAATGTATAAATAAGCAGGTAAAACATAAATGCTTAGATTTTCAGGTGAAGGAAGATCACTACTGGAGTCCCAAACACATCTTCTGCTCAGCATGTATTTTTAATGATCCAGACAGAAGGAACCTGTTGCAGTGGCAGAATTTGCCAACAAAGCAAAGCTATTCAGGATAGAACATGGAGATGTAAATTGCAAAGAGTGGCAGAAAGATGTCATGATAGTGAATGACTGGGTAATAATAACATTTGAAATTTTTTTGTGGATAAATATAAAGAAAATTTAAAATGAAAACATATGGACAAAATCCTAACATCACATGCTCAGCAGCTGACTGGGTTTATTTGATTCTTAGCACTCAGTGACGAGATCTTGGAATTTTACTACATAGGCCCATGGAAATATCATGTCAATATTCACTAGTCCTCAAAGAATAAAGAGGTGGTTAGAAATTATTAGGAAAAAAATCCAGAAAAAAGCAATAATTGTTTTAGCTTATAAATCCATAGTGCACCTATGTTTTGAAGACTATATGCAAGTTCTGTCCTCCCCATTTCAGACAGGCTGTAGCATAACTGGAGGCAGTGGTGGTAGCATGTGGCAAAGATATTCAGAAGTATGAAATCAGATTCCATCTAAGGGGCAGTTAGAGAATCTAACACTGTAGCTTGGGAAAGCAAGAAGTTGAAAGGAATGTGCTAGAGATGTAAAAAACCCTGAGTGCTTCACAAGCTGAATGGGAAATATTTACTTACTTTTTTTCTTCTTGTGTAGTAATTAGGAGATGTTAGGTAAAACAAGCGGGTAAGAGGCTCAAAACAAGTCAAAGGCAACTCCTGTATTTTGCGTGTCTTGAATTAACTGTGTAATTCCTGTATTAACTGTATTAAATGTTGACATTAAATTGTGGAAGTTCATATTGGAAGCCACTAATTGAAAGTTTTCTTTCCATTTCTGTAGGGAAACATGACAGCAAAACCACTGTTTTCATGTAATATTGCAACAGCATTTCTGTCTTTAATTATTGCAAGTAAGTTTATTGGCTATGGAAGGTTTTGTTCTGAAACTTTTTTTTCCACTCAAGTAATACGAACTTTCTGTGAAAATGGCTGTAAAAGTTAATTTGCATGCATGCCAGTGAGTTCTTTTAAATAGTCCTAAGAGCGAGGACCTCTCAAACACGTGTTATTTCATGTAGTATCTTATCACAAAATTAGGTTGGAAAGGAACTCCTGAGATTATGTAGTCCAACCTCACTGACATACCCCAAGGTCAGCTAGAGCAGGCTGCCCAATACTGTGTCTAGCTGGACTTTGAATATTCCTGCAAATGGAGATTCCATGACCTCTTTGGGCAACTTGTTCCAGTGTTTGATCACCCTTACAATAAAAAAGTATGTTCAGATTGAATGTTTTGTGTTTCAGTTTGTGCTCATTGCCTCTTGTCCTCTCAGTGAGCCATGCTGGCAAAGTCTGTCTCTTTGTTTTTTGTTCCCTCTCATCAGGTATTTGCACACATTGATAAGATCCCTTCACACACTCTTCAAGCCTTTTCTTCTCTAGGCTGAAGTGTCCCTGCACTTTCATTCTCTCTTCAAGTGAGAGATGCTCCTTTCCCTTAATCACTTCTGTGGCTCTGTGCTGGACTCTCTCCAGTAAGTTCAAATCTAGCAGGTCCGAATGCTCCTCAGGACACTCTTAGCCTTTTTTGCTATGAAGGAGCATTGATGGCTCATGGTCAGTTTGTGGTCCAACAAGACCCAAATGTTCTCTGAAGATCTACTTTCCAGCTGAATGGTCTCTAGAGTGTCCTAGGGCCTATTACACTATTTCAGATTATTTAATTGCAGAAAAGTGTTATCAGTTCTTGTGGCCACAGCATTTCATAACCATCACAGTTATTGTGGGGCATTCAATACAGATATCTGAGTAATTCAATGTTTGGATAAGTAATTTGGAGAATATTTATGGTGAGGTGATGTGAACTGTGGATGACACAAAATTATCCTTTGATGGTTGAAACTCATGCTCACTATGAAGGTGTCTGGATATCAAATATTTTAGTGATAGAATGTCAGTAAGTAAAATCAAATGGATGTGAAGGGGCATGGAAGGGTCATACACCTATAGCAGAAGCATGTGTACTGTACATGTGTGATGAGAGCATAAAGTTAATTGATAACCACTTGGGAAAATGATGTTTGGTATCTCTGGATGCTCTTTGGAATCATTAACTCTGTCATCAGCGGTGAGCAGAAAAGCAGAATTTTTGGAAAGCAGCAGAGTAGAAAGCAGAAAGCTTCATTATGCTACTCTGTTACCCCATGGTAAATGTGTATCAGTTGAACTGGGCAGTTCTGGTCATTCCACCTCAGAAAGACTGTTTCAGAAAGGGTAGGGAGATGAGTGACAGTGTCATCTGATATGGGATGGCTTCCATATGAGAAGTCACAAAGTGAAGGAGATAAAGAAAAGAAACAACTGAGGCAAGATGGGATGAAGATCTATAAAAATACCATCGACTAGGCAGATGAGAGAAAAATTACGTACCATTTTTCATACCAAGAAATGCATAATACCCAGAAAAATTATAAAAGCCAGTGAATAGTTTTTAATGAGAATACAAGGGGAGAGAAAGGGGCCAAAAGCAAAGTATTACTATATTTGTTGTATTCTCCTCTCTTTTGCATATTTGGCATTGGTTGTTGTCAGTGCCAGAATTTTGGGCTAGACAGATACCTGCATGACTCTGTGGCAGTTCTTACATTCTAACAAAGCAAGGAAGTTTTGGTAGATATAATACTGACTTAGGAATGGAACCATGGTATCCAGGGGTGGTGCCTTTTTTGTCATATTGCAAAAAGAAACTCAAAAAAACCCCAAGCCAAACTCATGGTGTTGCTCTTTTCCTGTATGAGTCTGTTTGTGTCAGAAGAAAAGAAAATGAGCTCATTGGTGATTGCAATATTTCCTCTCTAAATATTCATGAAATGAAGGGTGAGTTGAAATTTCCATTGTAAACTTAATATTTGTGCAACATGATCTTTAACTTCAGTGTCCTCTTAGGACATTTGAGTATCAAAAGCATAGTCTGTTTTGAAAGATTACTTTGACTACATTCAAGTGAAGGTAAAAATAAAGACCTTAAATGTGAAATTTGTGTGCATGTGTGTGTTTGTCTGCATGCACATGCAACAGACTGGGAAAAAACAAGTACTGTACTAGTTTGCATCTGAAGTTAAACATGCAAGTCTGCTGCAAACATTCTACGGAGTGTAAATTTTGCATTCAAATAATGGTATTTCATTTCAGTGGCACAACTGTATCTGTATACCACTGGGTAGTACTCTCAGCTGGAAAGGAATTAAAATTGTATTTCAGTGGTTGACTTGAGAGTGGAGGTGAAAACTCCAATTAACTTTATAAATGTGATCAGGAAATAAGTTCAGTATATTCTTGTAGGGTGTTTGAGTTTTTCTTTAATATCTATCTCTTTCTTTCAGAGAAATGTGAAGCCTATGACGTGATGTTGGGGCAAATTCTTGTGCCTGATGGACAGCCTCTTGCTATTAACTGTTCACCGGAAAAGAACTTGAAAAGTGGAAACTACAACTTAACATGGTATAAAGTTGGTAACCAGACAGCTGTGCCTAGAGACAAACTGTCTAGAGTGCATCAGCAGAAGAATTTAATTTGGTTTCTTCCTGCAATGTTAGAAGACTCTGGAGATTATGAATGTGTCATAAGGTGAAAATTAAAAAAAAAAAAATTACAGAAATGAGTTTCAAAATAAGTAACTTTTAGAAAGCAAGTAAAATTATGAGGGTAAGAGAAATGCTAATGAAGAAGAGAGAGTGCATTCATAAAAACTAACTTAGACTGGGGAAATTAAGTCTAGTTTTGGGTTATTTTTCCTTGTAGGCAAAAGTAAATATATTAAAGAAACCGTAAACTTCTTGTCTTCTCTTTCTTCTCCAAAAAGAATACCATATATTTTTGAGTTGCAAAATATGCCAAATAGGTTAATTTAATTATGTTCTATTAATTGCAGAAACTTGACAAGCTTCAAGAAAATGTGTACAAAAGTAACAATTTTTGAGAAGGTTGATGGTTTATGCTTAAATGAAAAATTTGCTGTAGAGGAGGTGGTATTCACATCATCAGCTGCAAAGGTTGTGTGTCCACACTTGGATTATTTCAGGAATGAGAAGGATATTCAGCCTGTTCGTTGGTATAAGGTGAGAATGTGGTGATTTTTACTGCCTTATAGCTGTCCACTATTTAAAATAAAAACCACTGATCTTCGAAAATTGGAGCAAAAACCCCAAAGAGTTTTTGTAAAAGGGAGATAAAATTTTAAAAAAAAGAAATCAACAAAAACTAGAAGAGGATTAAGACTTTTTATCTTTTAAAGGTGTATCGGGTTTTTTTGATTAACAGGGTAGAAATTCAGTTTAGGTGTAGGAGCACCGTTGACCCACGAATCCATCAGGGGGCATCTGTTTACCTGCCAGCAAAACGCACTCGGAGTTTCATGGAAACAGACTTAGTGTGAGGTATCCATCATGTGCTCAGTATTGTTCTATTAAATGGTTCAGTTTCACGTGGTTCACGCTCATTTAAAGGCTCTTTCTGGTACAACAATGTAGTGCCTTCTGCATAATTCCTGCCTCAGGCCCACGTGGTCCGAATGGTACCGGTAGTATTTAGGTTCCTTAGAAAATTAAATGTTATTATTGAGTGGTTCTTAATGGATGAACACTTCTAAAAATCCTGACAATTGCATTTTACTTTCTTATTTCTCTAATATCGAAAGTTGTTTTCCAAAGGAGATGAACTGGGGTATCTTTGAATTCAAAACACAGCTGAAATGAAGCAGGCAGTGCTTTTTATTCCACTGCCCTTGCCTTCCCTCAGCCTCTGCAAGGCATCCATCCCAGTGCTGTGGTCCACTGAAACTTCAGATTGTATTAAAGAGAGAAACTATGGAAATGTACAGTAATATGAATTAACAGAGTTCTCTACACATTTTTAGGACTGCCAGCTGCTGGAAGGGAAAAGGTTTGCTTTCTCAAACAGTGATCTTATAATTTTCAATGTGACTGTACAAGATCAAGGAAACTATACATGTGAAACAACATGTAACTACAATGGAAAACAATTTAACATTTCACGGGATGTCAGTCTGATTGTAGAAGGTAAGTAAATAATTTCATTGCGTTTGTGCTCATAGACCAAAGCAGAAAGACCTAATCAGTGGATAGACATGCTTAGGGCTACTGGTTTTCACCTAAATGTGAAGGAAATAAATGCTGACTGCGGGTATTTATACTTTGTCTGTTGTTGCCAGCATATTGAAGATTCATTCTCCTGTTCAAAGTTGCAGTATATCAAAGCTCTGCTGCCCACACCAGCTGGCAAAGTCTCTAAACAGATGCCCTGTAAGGCTTGGTGGTACAATACTTTCTATTGTATTCTCTATCCTGCCCATCTTCCTTCTTTGTCTTTTACATTATTCTCTTAATGCAAGAGCAATGAACTAAACCAGCCCAAATAGTGGCAATGTCTTCACTCTGTGTGTACCATCTGTTTCCTTCAAACCTTTGTCTCTTTTGCTTTTGGTTTTAAGCTGCTAAGCAAAAGAACTTCTCATCTCTGATATTGTGTGTGTAGCTCAGTAAACCCTGATTTATCTCAGGGACCAACAGCACAACAAAAAATATAACAGATGGTGTAGGTGTAAAATATGAAATCCTTTGCTAGCACAGCATCCTGAGATTGATAATGGATCACTGAAAAGACTGTGCTATACCAAGGTAAGCAATACAAATGCTGCTTTTTGCATTCCAGCTAATGAAAGGCATTTTAAGGTTTACTAATATATTGTATTACTATTTAATTACTATTTAATGGTTTCTTTTTGTGCTTCCCTGTTTTGTCTGTGTGCATATATATGTATATATATGCATGTATTTAAGTGTGTGTGTGAACATGTGATGAGAGTATGTATCATATTTATATATCTGTATTAAGGGTGCGGCGCTATCACCGCCGAGACCCGGGTTCGATTCCTGGTCAGGACCACTCCCGGGCAGGTGGAGCTCGTTAGCTCTTAAAGGCAACCCACCTACGTCCTAAGGACCTCGCTGCCACCGTCCAAGCTCGCTTGGCCCCAGCAGATGAACCTTAGGATTAAAGGGTGGGCTCAGTTCCGCGCACACTGTGTCTCACCTAAAAAATCCAATGCGCAGGCTGGAAGGTGTAAAGACCTTCCCCGGATCTTCGCTCGCGAAGACTGGCCATTATTATTATTATTATGAATAAACAAAATCTGAAGGACATTTCAAATGAAATTATCATTCTGGTCTTAAAAGCTGTCCCTAGAACTTCTCTCTTAGTGGAATTTTGGCTTCTAGGTCTGAGTAGAAACAAAATCGTATCACTCTGCCATAAGTGACTGAAGGTAGCTCACTAGTTTTTAAAGATTCCAGCTGAGCAAGTTTACACTAAAATGATGGTTTGGAGTCCAGACAATAACGCAGACCCAGTTTTCAGAATGGGAAGGGAAGGATATATTTGGGACAATCCTTCGTACTTTGCTAGGGGACTCAAATGAGGTGCTTTGCGATTTATGTTTGTTAATTTGTAGACTTGGAGAGTGTCATATATGTAGTCTTAATTGTAAACATCTAAAAGTGGTCACTGGTATTGTACTTACTTATAGATGAAGCTGTGGGAAGAACTTTAAGGTCTTTAACTGGAGTATAAAAATTAAATTTCCCCTTTAGAGTAGTAGAAGTTTAAAATAGATGAACTGCACTCTAAAAGCACTTGGCTCCAATTTGTATCTGTGTGATGCTGGGTGACAGGCTATCCAGACCTTAGAGCAGCAGATATTTGCCCATACTCTTCTCAGCACCTGTGCATGCAATACTACAGAATTTTTGTGCCATGGAATAGCCAGTCCATCATGAGTGTGTGGAGATTAGAGACATTACATTTTGGAAGAGAGAGAGTGCAGTAATGTCAACTTAGCTTCAAGTCAGAAGTAATGACTACTGAGATATGATACTTTCAGTATTGAGTGATGTTTGTTATAAAATTGCTGACAGCCTTGTCTGTAGAATAGACTGCAACTGCCCTAAAGGTTTTCTGAAAAGCCCTTTCCTTCTTTTGGTTAGTGAGCCAACCAAAAAAGCCTCCAGAAATATCTTACCCAAGAAACAACTCTATTGAAGTGGAACTTGGTAAGTAGTTTTCTCTATGAGAAAATATGAATTTGTATCCTAGTGAAAATTTATACTCAAGGAGTGCCCTGTTATGTGTTTTCTTGTTTTGTCTCTTTGAAAAAACCCTCAACTAATTCAGTGACAGCTCTATTTCTCTTTGTTGATCACCCAAAGGAGGAATATTGAGGGGTAAGAGGGAAAGAAATGAGGTGTGTTGCTTACAAAATCCTAGGGAAATTTCTCAGATGCAAAGAAAATTATAGGGAACCCAACTGATTATCTGTCACATCTGTTGCTTTCCACCACTCTAGAAAAGATTCTAAGAACAGATCCATCTCAAAAGTGCAGGCAAAGTGATACCCCAGGGGGAGACATCTTCCCGGATTCAGCCTTTTCCATCCCACCCTTCTCTTTCTGGATCTGCAGATCACTGAGTATATGGACCCTCTGTCAAAGTAACTTTCTGAAAGGGTTTGGTACCATCCTTAGCTGGTCTGTGTGGGAATCAGTGAACAGAATTGTATAGACTTTCATTAGGTTATGGAAATTAACTCTTTATTTTGTAACAAAATTTTATAGGCTCGCAGGTTACAGTGGATTGCAATACAACAGGTGCTGATGGGTATGAAGTGTTTTGGACAGGCAACGGTGTGTATATTGATGTATTTTATATGAGCAGAATTTTTGCAAGTCCCTATGAGTAAGTATATTTTCAGACTAGAATATACTGTGTTGGCAACGAAAGTGGAACTTTCTCCCTTTGGCATTAAAATATTAAGCAACATTTTTCCCTTGCTTTAAATAGCATTCTTTTAAAACACTCTAATGCTTGCCTTCCCCAATTCACTTCCTGCTTTGAAATAAAAACTTGAAACGTAGGAGGCACATGGACTTCACATGAGATTGTGCTTTTCTTGGTCATTGTAAAAAATCTGTCTTAATTTCCAAACTTGGAAAAAGCTGTTTTGTTACAGTCTCATACTTGTAATGTAAACCTCTTTTGGTTGCATCAGTCATGTCCAGGTACATTATCTTCAGACTGACTCTCTTCGATGTGTTCTCCTTTCCCTTCATATCTGCCTCTGTGAAAAGTCACAAGAGGACAAACCTGTGCTTTACAGGAGAAATTGAGATTTCCAAGTTTAAGAGCCTTGAGTTAGAGAAAGATAACAGACATCAGCTGAAGGGCTAATGGAAGACTTCATTGGGGGCATTTGTCCTGAAGCTTAGAGGGCTGAGAAAAGAGAGACAAATTTCCAGTGATGAGTTGAGTTTCGGGAAGACTTGGACTGAGCAAAGCATGAAAAGGGCAAGAGGGAGACAAGGTGATGGTGAAAAGCAGGTTAAATGGAGTTAGTTAGGAGAGAAGAAATTATACCTGACTGGAAAAACAACTTAAATTGGAGCAAGAGGGAAATTTAAATTTTCTTATATATTGGAGATTGGGAAATAAAAATTGCAGGTTTTTTTATCAGCCCTTATCTCATGGTGGTTCTGTGTATAAAAAATGTGGTAATTTTTTTAAATTCTCAAGCAATATCTATGACCAAAAAACTGATGAAGCAATGAGAATGATATCTTCAAAGTAAGAATATAGTTGTGAGAAATAAGTATTCATCATAAAACAAAGGGAGAAATAAAAATCTGAATTATTTGGGTACTCACGAAGAGAAAACACTTGCATAAAAGTAATATATTATACTGTCATAAAGAATTGTAATGCCATAAAAATTTGGGTCATAATGCAGAGGCACATGGTCACTGAATCGATACTGTAAAAACAATGTTATTTTTTTTACTTCCTAGAGCTTAAATGGTCATCTTTGCAACCATTAGTCATTTGCATTAGTGATGTTGATTTATTCATTCCCTGTTACAGTGTTCAAATTACTGTAACTTTTTGCTTAGAAAGTGATTCATGTGGTCCTTTATATGCCCTTTATGTTATGTTTTATTTTGCATTTTAAATGATAACTACACTATGTTTTCAGGAAAGAAAGCGGACTAGTTAGTCAATTTTGCATTTGAGGTCTATGATTAACCAAGGTAGTGGTATCCCACATTTTGCTGGTGGTTAAAAGTTTGTTTAGTTCACACATCAGTCACATGTCACAGTACACAACTAGTTAGTATAAGTGCTTTTATGCCCTTGTACAATGCATGGGGGATAATCTGGGTTCTCTTAATGGTGCGACCTTTCACAACCAGCAGTTACAAGTCTGTTCTGATCCATGGGGTGAAGCACCATTTAGACTCCAGTCCCTGTAGCTGGAATCACACTGTGAATTGGTGGTGTCTGCTGCATGTCACCACCTTTGATGTCCTCCTTGTCCCAGAGCTGCTGACCACAAGGTTATGCCTTGTTCCAGGGCCTCTTTCTGTGTCATGTCCCATTGTGGAATCTCTCTGTCCATCTACTCTTATAGGAGTTGGGAAGTCTATAACAATGGTTTTCTTAGGTTTGTAAGGTATATTTTTGTCCTTCAAACTACAGAAAGTTTATATTCCTTTGGGGAAACACAGCCCCAGATAAGGTAATGTCTTGGTGTCTTGATGTTTTCTAATACATATGCTAAATGTCAGTATGAATGTCTGACTGTTCAGGTTTCTTTCATGCAATGTAATTGCTCATCTGTTGTGAAGTGTGGTTGACGTTTCAGAGGGATTTAGCCATTGTTGTGCTGCGGATGTTAAGAGATGAAGCCATTCCAGAAAGGGCTGTGGCTTATGGTTCTATTTGTCACCTTCTTGACAGGGAAGAAACTTCTGAGGATGGACGCCCTATGCATTCTGTGAAGCTAATAATTTCAGAAGTGAATAGTGAAGATTATGAACAACCATTTGTCTGCCAAGCTTCAAATGCCTTTGGGGAGGTTGCATCTTATATTATATTAAAGCACAGAGGTAAGGAATGCTGGTTATCTTTGGGGCCTGTGATTGTCTTTACTTCCCCAGAAAGTGTTTTGATACCAAATTCTTTGTATTGTTTCAATAGAAGACAGGTTCATTACAGTTTGCAGTACACATGCATGTGCCTGTGCACAGGGAAAGTCACTGTAGTAGTGTATTTAACATTATTTTAAAACCCAGGTAAATAGAAATGAAAAACAACATGAATAATATTAATGTCATCATATAAATAATAAATATGAATAAAATAAATGGATAATATTCAAATTTGTATTGCATTTGTGTGAAAGATCAGATTTGGACAAATTCAGCATTTAAAAAGCAATCTTCTTATATTTTTGTGCAGTTCCTGATATACGAAGATGGCTGACTGGAGTGCTTGTCTCTTTGTTAATTTTAACATTTATTATTTTAATAATCTACAAGACTTTCAAGATTGATTTGGTGCTTTGGTACCGTAATTCTGCCTGTGCTCTTACAAGTAAGGAAGGTATGTGAATGTATATAAATGTAATTATCCTATCGAATTTTTTCACTTGCCATTGCTTCTGAGCAAAAATGGGATTATTTAGTAGAATGTATGTGGAACTTTCATGGGGAATTTTCAGATACACACAAAGACATTTTTGGGGGGCATTTTTAAAGTCATATGGGTAAAATATGTAATGATTGAGGTAATAAAAGTGTAATATTGAAGATAGTCATGGTGAGATAGGCCAAAAAGAATTATAGGCTATTCCCAAATTAGCATGTTCTTTTTTGCTTCTCTGTAGTTTCTTTACATGTAGCGATATGGTCACTCTGATGATGAACAATAGGTGTCAGCAGAGCTACATCCTGTAAACTAGCTGTTTAAAGATGTGCATTAAATATTTACTTTGAGAATCAGACTAGTTTCTCAGAGATTAATTTGTTGAGGATTTTTTTTTGTTTTGTTTTGCAATTTCTCCCTTTTACCCACACCTTCCTTCTAAATCCTGTAAGTTATGATGTTTACATGCCAAAGAGAAAATTTGCTACTAGTTCTGTGTTCTAAGTTCTGTGATTCTTCTTATGTGTTTTTATTTGCTGTACTGTAGACAAATACATGAAGACAGGTATGAAAAATTTGAAATAAGAACAACATCATAGGTATTTTTTGTATCAGTGCTCAGAATTAGACTGTCTGGAGTTCCCCATAGCTTGAAAGGGAATGGATTACATACAATGATGTAGTTAATGTTTACTCATGGCTGTTCGAAATGTTTTCACAGAAAAGTAATTTCAACTTCTGGGGTTGGGAGCTCCTTCCTGCAGGCCTTAGGACCGGCATCCAGCTCACTTTCTGCCTCCTCCCTCTCCATGATGGGAAAGGAATTCAGATTCAGTGGCTGATCATCTTTCTTTTTATTTGTAGAGCATTTTAGTTATTTGAAGTTATTCTGTCAGATAGGTGAAATCAGGCCCCCATTATTGTTTTTAAACACACCAAAACGGAACTTTGCAATAAAGGCATTTCAGATTTAGTTCTTTAACAGAAATGTTTGTGTTTGTTTTAGATGGGAAAATCTATGATGCATATGTCCTGTATGCAAAAAGCAGTGAAGGCAGAAGTTTCTATTGTCTGGAAACCTTTGTTCGTAGAATACTCCCAGATGTTTTAGAAAAACAATGTGGATATAATCTCTTCATATTTGGAAGGGATGATTTACCTGGAGAAGGTATGCTTTTATTAGTAGAGTTATTAAATTGTCTTTTGGGACATTGTTCTCAGCTCAAAGTTTATCTATACAATTAAAATCTACATCTTTTGAAAAGAAAGCTGTATTTGTTTATTTTTTAATGGATAATTTGTCCAATAGACAATTTATTTCTTTTCTTTTATTTCCTTACTAAAAAGTTTGTTCCAATGTTATGAGGGTCAGCACTTTCTTTTTATTGATGAACAAATGAGGATTCAACAGCATTAATAATATTGTTGAGGGTTTTTGAATGATATCTCCTCCTGGGGACTGAAGAAAACTAATTTTTTGTCAGTTATGTCATGCAGTGGATCATGAATCATGAATGACAGCGTGAAGATCTTAAACCTACCAGTCCTCTGAGCATCACCTATTTGCAATTTTAAAACTAAGAAGTATTTTACATCAGTTGTAAAGTTTCTATGAAAACTTTGATCATTCCTTTATTACTTACAGCTGTAGTCAGTGTTGCTGATGAAACCCTTAAGCAAAGTAGAAGACTGATGATTATTTTGGGATCAGAAACATCTAGTTGCTGCCTGCTAGAAGACACCTCTGAACAACAGCTAGCTATGTATAATGCTCTCATCCGCGATGGGATTCAAGTGATTCTTATAGAAATGGATGAAATACAGGACTACACAAGCATGCCAGAATCAATCAGATACATTAAGCAAAAACATGGAGCTATCAAATGGAAAGGTGACTTCTCAGAAAAATCATGTTCAGCAAATACAAGATTCTGGAAAAAAGTGCGCTATAAAATGCCAATCAGGAAAAAAGTATCTTATTCTGAAGTGTATTTATTGCCCTTAACTTCGAACAATTCTGCAGCAAAGGGAAGTTAAGAAGCACCTGTTAAAATAACACTGAAGGTAATTCTGAATTGTGATGTTTCTTGCACAAAGTCTTCATATTACAAACTAAATGTTTTCTTTGAGATGTAAAAACTACTCATCCCTTCCTTAAATCACACCTTAAAAGAAAAACTTTGCACAACTTTATTTCTGTTCTGTTTTTTTGACAGTGACATAATTTGTCGTGATAGCCTTCATTAGATATGAGGAGTAAAGGTTATGGTGATGGTGGTACACAATTAAATAGTCACAGTCCACGTAAATGTCATGTGAAGAAGGAGCTGTCAGGTCCATTTTTAAAAATTGAAATTGCAGTTGATAAATTAAAAGTCTGTTTCTATCATCAGAATTTTCCTAGTCGTTCTGTTCCACTTCTTGTTACTTCTCCATGACTGTCTGACTTCCTCATTGCTGCAGGAAAGCCTGCACTGTGCAAGCCTTGAGGTCTCCTTCTGAGCAAAAGGCCTTGTTCTTGTTTCTTTAAAGAGTTGGGGAAATACATGACATAGCACATATATTTAAAACTCACAACACAATGTGTTTCAGCTGAACAGTTGGTACCACGTGTGTTCAACAAATGGCTTTTTAAACATTTGTTGAATGATTCTGTGATATCAGGAAACTGAAAATACTTCAGATTTTTCGAGAACTGGAGGTTCTAGAATGTGCTGCTACTCTGAAAACCACTTCTCATTCTGTGCCTCTAACTGCACACACAGAAATTCACTGAGAATCCATCAAAGGACTGTGCTTGGGCTGGGTTTCCTGGGGAGAGTGGAAAATGGCCGGTTCTGAAACATGATCAGATGGTAACGGCAAGAAATGGTATCTTGTCTACTTGTGAAAGAAAAAGTTAGAGGTATGTGCTTATATCAAACTGCTTGGAAGCAGATTGGTTTTTCTGGACTCCAATCCATTGTTCTGTGCGCATCACCATGAGAAAATGGCACGCTGCTTCCTTTTCAAGGTTGTCTGAAGCAGCAGAAGTTTTCACGGTCCAGCCTTGAAGAGCAGCATCTGAATGCAAAGATGAATTCTGCTTGTTTTTTATTTTGTTTTGTTTGTTGTTCTTTTCTGAGGTTAAGCAGGTTCTTACATCATGTTTATTGCTAGGATAGCATCTGTCACTTGATTCTCAGAAGTATGTATACTATAGAATATATTCTTCATTGGGCTGTATTCATGGGAGAGAGAAAGAAAGATCAGGGAGTAAAAACAGATATTCAGAGTGAAAGATTTGCAATAGCATTTCATGGTACCTTTTTCTTTAAGAATGTCTAGCAAATGCTACTTAGGAGCAGTTTCTCATTCTCTTGATGTGGGGTTTACAACTGCATAATTTTCCACAGCCTTGACTGACTTGAGACTTGTTCTGAGTTGTCACCATGAGAACTGAGAACAGGATAGATTCATAAGATGAGGTACTATTGTTATTCATGTTGAATCACTTTTCTATTTAAAAAATAAATTTAGGAACTTGGGTAGTTTAGGTAATCATTATTGTCAAATTTTTACATTGTGTTTAGACCTAGACTTGCTCAGGAAAGTTTTGAAAATTGCATTTTCCTTCAAAGATTTTTTTCATTTATGTTTAAAACCAGAACCCTCTTATTTTGCATGTAGAAGGGGAAAAGTAATAAAGAAAAGATGTTGAAACTATGCTGGATATTTTCAACCTTCTAATCTCATGTGCTTTGAAATAAGATTTGCAGTACTACAGAAAAGTACATTGATTTGCATGGAGTTGTGCTGTTATTTTTATTTCTTCTGTGAATGTGCTGTTATGATTTCTGCTCACTTTTTTCATAATTCTTTTCAGAGGTTTGCTACAATATTCAAGATAAGCCTTTTCCCATTTTCCCACTAAACAAGACTCCTAAAGACTCTTAATTGAAGACAGATAAGAGTCAGAATTTATTTACCTGATACTTTCAAACAACCACATTTAGTATAATTATGTAGATATATTAGTGTTCTTGTGTGAAAGTGAGTGTGGGATAAAGGTTTTGGTCATCATGGTAAATTGTTAGCTAACTACTTGAATGCAGCATGACACGAAATGATTTATCCTTTTATCATGGGACTTAATTTTAAAGCTGAATTTTGTCTCTGTTTTCTCTCCTTGGAAACTGTTTTTTGCAAGTCACAGAGGAAAACACACTAATTTTTTGTGGTCCAATAAAAGAGGTCCCATAGAGATGTATGTACTGATTGCTCTTTATTAAAAAACCCCCAAATCTCAACAAGTCCAGAAATGATTAGTTGGCAAGAGGTTTGCTTCTGAAAACTAGGTAGCATCAGAAGGAAAAGGCAAATGCAGAGTAGTCTGTGAAAGAGTATTTGTTTACCACAGTCTAGTAGGTGTATTTCAGTTTGTTGTTGTCATGGTTTAGGAATGGTATTCACCAGTTTAGTAGTCCTGCTAAAACCACACCACTGCTTGCTCCGCCTCCCTCTCCAACTGGAAGCACAAAAGGCAAAGCTCATGAATTAAGAACAATTTACTGGACACAATGAGATAAGAAAACAAACAGTGTCAGCAACAATATTAATAACAAAAGGTATACGATTAAGAATTGATTTACATATAAAGCCCAAGACAATACTGATTGGCTCTTCCCCACCGTTTTTTCTCCCCACCGGAAGGAACTTCCTTCTCTGAAATCAGAGAGAGTCCCTTTCCCGCGCCCTGGCAGTGATGTGAGGTGCTATCCAATAATGTTAAGGTCCTGGCCACTTCCCCTCAGCCATGCCCCCTCCCAGCTGTTGCAAAAAATTAACCCTGTCTGAAATCAGGACAGTTGCTTATACTGACAGCAAACACATTCTGAATGGTATGTGGTGTAAGGTGCATTGAAAGCATTCTCTGCACAATTTTTACTTTTCAACCTTAACCACGCATTTCTTTCATTGGCTTTCTCCTGTCCAAATTTATTTGGTGCTCCAGACTGCCCCATCCCTTCCTCGCCTTGTGATTAACTTGCCTCAAATTTTCTAATTCCACTGTATCTTTCTATCCATACTGTGAGAGTAGTGTTTTCTGGGAGACTTTCCCTCCTTTCATGATTTTCCTCCTGTATCCCACATTCTTATCTCTATGGTAACTAGTGCCAAGATATGGCCTGTTTCACATTCTAATGTACACATCTGTCATGGTTTAATCCTAGCCAGCAACCAAGCACCACACAACCGCTTGCTCACTTCCCCACCAGTTGGATTGGAAAGGTAAAAGCTGGAAAACTTGTGGGTTGAGATAAAGACAGCTTAATAGGGAAAGCAAAAGCCTCCCACCCCCCTGGCAATCAAAGGAAAACAAGGAATTAATTCCCATGGGCAGGCAGGTGTTCAGCCATCTTCAGGAAAGCAGGACTGTGTCATGCATAGTGGTTACTTGGGAGGACAAACACCATCACTCCAGATATTCCCTCCTTCCTCTTTCTTCCCCCCACTTTATATACTGAGCATGATGTCATATGGTATGGAATACCCTTTTGTGACTTTGAGTCACCTGTCCTGGCTGTGTCTCCTCCCAGCTTCTCATGCAAACCCTGTCTCCTCACTGAAAAGCGGAATAGCCCTTGGCTCTGTGTAAGCACTGCTCAGCATTACCAAAAACATCTCTGTATTATCAATCCTGTATTCATGTGAAATCCAAAACACAGCCCCACACTAGCCACTGTGAAGAAAAAACAATCCGGCCAAAACCATCACAACATCTACGACTGTATTAGCTCATACATAGAGGCTTATGGGATTGGGAGAAGCGTGCTGAGCCCAAACCCAGAATGAGCTCTTAGGACTTGGCAGTCAATGCAATAGCCCCAGATAGGACAGCCCTGCCTGACTTTGTTTTTTTTGTCTTTTAATTTATCTCTGTATTGCATCCTAGAAGGTAGAACAGTACAAAGGCAATTTAACATTTTCCCCTTTATCTTGGTACCTTGAATTTTGCTCAAGGGGGAAGCCCCTTCTACCTTTTGTTCAGAGGCTATGGTAGCTCAACTAATATACCTCCTTTCATAGCTGCAGTCGACTTTAAGATGAAGCAGGCAGAATACAGTTAATATTTAATAAATCCATGCTGAGGAGAGACTTTCTTCCTAGAAGTATGAAGGAAGTATTATATTGTAGAGCTTAGGAATACATATAAGTAAAATCAGTGGCTAGCAGCTTTTCTGTCTTTGGTTTATTCAGAGATGCTACAACACGTGAACACAGGAGCAACAGGATTTCCTCCTCTCATCCCTACATTCATTATTTTCAAGAGTAAAGGCAAAGCACACCACTTGATATGTATGCTTATTCTCTTTTAAGTTAGGATAATATTAACTGATACGTGATACATTTGTTTAGTCAAACTGAACTACAGTCACTAAAAGTGAGCTAGGAAGTAGTGCAAACTATTTGTTTCCTCAGTCCACTCTAAGATTGCTTCCCATGCTGACATCGATTGAAAAAAAGGAATCTGATGTCTGCTGGGCATCAGGGCGCAAAGTTAAAAAGTACAGCCTGTGTGACTTCCTCTGATAGTCACCTAGGTCACTGGGGCATTACAGCTGGAGTTAGAACTCTGCTTGACCATGACAACGTTTGTCAGGAGTTGCTATTTCACCGTGAAGAAAGGTAGAAAGCTCCCCAAGTCATTAAGGTGAATTTTCAGTTCTAAAAAGGTTGGTTTTGAATTGCTGCTCCAGATCAGATGACTTAGATGTGTAAATTTTTCTGGTTCCTTTTTTTTTTTTTTTTTTTTTTTTTGAGCAGAGCAGTGACTGTAGTAGGAGGGGCATTTTGAACATTGTCTCAGTTTTTTTCTTTCTTTTCCATTAAGCAGTTTCCCTGATTGGCTTTATTTCTGTTGGCAATTATTAAAATCCATGCTCTCTCTTTCCCTTATCTCACTTGCTATGTGTATCAGGGGAGTACTTCATTTTTCTACATTGTTTAAGGTAACAAATCCCAGTGCTGCCTCATCCCTCCTCTAATCTCTAATGTTGATTTGATCTTTTCCACTTTCCTGCTCAGTTTATCTACTGTCTCCTGAAAGATGTGAAGGGAACAAATCCTTAAGAAGGTATTTTTTCTCTAATACCCATAATGTTTGTTTGTTTTCTCTTTGTTTGTTTTTTCTCTCAAAAATGCATAACAACGATTTCTTGTGTGCCACAGAATTAGATGACAAGCAGTTGGATTTGGAAAGAAATTTAAGCTATCTACTCTTATCCTACCTCTCACTCCTAGGGAAGCACACTCAGACTGTATCAACTAGGTCTGTACTTTTTAGGTAAGGTGTGGCACAACTACATCAATTCAAATGCAGCATAGCAGAAATGGCAGGGCAAATGCATCTTTAGGACCCTGGGATTAGCTCAGCTGGTTAGAGCATGGTCCTAGTAAAGACAGGGTTGCAGGCTCAGCCACTCTATGGGCCGTTCACTTAGGAGTTGGATCCTTGTGGGTCCTTTCCAACTCAGTATATTCTGTGATTCTGTGTAAAAACATTACCAACATATGAAGGAGTTAATAAATTCACCCACTTCTGAAATGATGAATAAGCACAGTATTTGGGAGTTACAAAAAAATAAGATTCATCTGTGCCTTCAAAACAGAAAAAAGGTTTGGCAATTAACTCCCCTACATATTGCAGGAACAAAAAGGCAAAAAGCTAAAGAGGTGTCTGGACAGGGACACTCACAGTGGGAAAGAAATTGTATGCCATATGTCCCCCTTCCATTTGTGTATGCTCTCTTCTGGGTCATGACATCTGGTTCTGCTTGATATCTGGCTCTGATTCCTGTATTTTTAAAGTAAACAGGACTTGGTTCTCCTCAGAGACTGAAGAGAATAGACCACATGCTGACTTTTAAAAGAAAAGCCAAGTTTTACACACAAACATGTCTCCTCATCCTAGATCTGAAGGGCTTGGTACACATATGCATTTAAATGAGCCAAGGATGTGCCAGCACCATCTGCTGTCACTTTAAAAAAACCTGCTAACTTTGGCATGTTTGACATTTTTGGAATGTTGGGCCATAAAGTTAGTTGGGTACCTAAATCAGGAGATGAATTAGCTTATTATTAAGGAAAGGATCACGTCCAAGAGAGCAGATAACTGAGGATGGGAAAAGATCAGTTGTCCCAGGATGAGGGTTTGTGAGGGATTAATAACATCTGCATAGGAAGTGGCTGTGGGGATACTGAAACCCTGGAGCCATGAACCAGCCACACCAGCCTTGCTCTGTGCAATGCCTCCACCTAGTGATGCCTGAGACTGAAGCCTTCCCCTTCTGAAAAAAGCCACACTGTTTACATAAGATCATGATGAAGTGCTGCTGCTAATAATACCAAGCCACAACATTCAAAGAAAAAAAAAAGCACACCAAGAGGGAGTCAAAATAGAAGATACTCTGATGACTGCAGTTCTGAATTATACTGTAATTATTATTTTTAGTGCTTTTCCCATCCTTTGTAGGAACTAACAGTAAATTTAGTGGAAAATGAGATTTTCATCCTTCCAGTCTGTATATCTGTTAATTCAGTGTTTCAGAGTTAACTGGGAAATAGGGAGGAGTTGTCCTCTGTAGACACAGCATATGCCCTCCAGCATATGTCAATTAGATGTGACTGAGCAACACTTCCCATTGGTTATTCCAAGAAAAAGACCATGAATGGAGACTGCTTCATCTGGGATCTGCATTCCAACAGATCCACTGTGCGTGATGGCTGCAGGATCATTAACAGCCATCTGCTCCCCAGGCAACTGAGAGTCCCATAGCTCATTGACAGGATGAAGCATGGAGAATTTGTGCCACAGCTTTCCTGGGAGCTGGAAGCACTGGCCAGTTCTCCTGGCTCTGACAATTTAGGTGTTCAATTTCACAAGCAGTCTCTGCTATCTGAGATGACCAGTTCCAAATCCCCAATCCTAAATCCTTGCCTTGGATGGTGTGGTCAGGCCCCAAGGGACCTTGCAAACTGCCTTTCTCTATGGTATGTAATGTGCTTCCCCCTCCCCCTTTTTTTTTTTTAGTTAATCTACAGCCATATGGTTTGTCAGTTGAAGAGAATTTCCAAAATGAAAATGATTGGGAGGTTTTAAAGTCTGTCTAGAACCTCTGTCAAAATCTCTGGGGAGCAAAATTTTGTACTTGGATGAATGCCCTTTTGAATATTA